TTTGTTGCCACACATATGATGTGTCTGTTTGTTGCCACACATATGATGTGTCTGTTTGTTGCCACACATATGATGTGTCTGTTTGTTGCCACACATATGATGTGTCTGTTTGTTGCCACACATATGATGTGTCTGTTTGTTGCCACACATATGATGTGTCTGTTTGTTGCCACACATATGATGTGTCTGTTTGTTGCCACACATATGATGTGTCTGTTTGTTGCCACACATATGATGTGTCTGTTTGTTGCCACACATATGATGTGTCTGTTTGTTGCCACACATATGATGTGTCTGTTTGTTGCCACACATATGATGTGTCTGTTTGTTGCCACACATATGATGTGTCTGTTTGTTGCCACACATATGATGTGTCTGTTTGTTGCCACACATATGATGTGTCTGTTTGTTGCCACACATATGATGTGTCTGTTTGTTGCCACACATATGATGTGTCTGTTTGTTGCCACACATATGATGTGTCTGTTTGTTGCCACACATATGATGTGTCTGTTTGTTGCCACACATATGATGTGTCTGTTTGTTGCCACACATATGATGTGTCTGTTTGTTGCCACACATATGATGTGTCTGTTTGTTGCCACACATATGATGTGTCTGTTTGTTGCCACACATATGATGTGTCTGTTTGTTGCCACACATATGATGTGTCTGTTTGTTGCCACACATATGATGTGTCTGTTTGTTGCCACACATATGATGTGTCAGTTTGTTGCCACACATATGATGTGTCTGGAATGTCCAAAGTGGAAGAGATAAAACGTTGACTTCCATGCGTTTTATGTTACCCCCCACCCACGCCAGCCCCACCCCCAACTCGCAAACGTTCGTGAAAGATTTCACACGACGCCACGTTGGTAGTCAGGGCTCAATGAAGGGGATAACCTCTAAAGGCTGATTATATATCTAATTCTATTTGCAAGTTAAAGCTGATGCTATCAGCGCTGAACATCTCGTGGGGTTTCATGTGCGTGGTTCGAGGCGGTTGCAAACGTCTTCCCAGGACGCTGAATAAATTGATGGTCGAATGTCGGGGAAAGGCCTGCGGGCGAGGTGTGGGCCCCTTCATGGTTAAACCGTGCTAGGAAGGATTTGGAGGGGTTTGGGGGGGGGTGAAAAATTGGTAAAATTTAACTTACGCTGGGTACGAATTGTAAAATTTTGTGATAACCACTGTCTTAAACCATTGATTTCGCGACCATATGTATGGTTATTATTCGCGACCATGTGTATGGTGTTTATTATTCTTGACCATATTTATGGTGTTGTATTCGCGACCATATGTATGGTGATCTATTCACGACCATATTAATTGGGGGGAAGGCTTATGCTTGTTCTTTAACTCGGTGGCATGGGGTGTCTTTATAATAGAGTAATAATTGTAGCATCATATCCACAGAAATGTAGAGCACCACTAGTATAAACGGAAAAAAAATGCACTTTTATACGATGTGTGGGAATAAGCCGATAACTTAACAAATGTGAGGTTTTATGTATGACTCTAATATAGCTGTTGTGCCTCTAATATAGATGGTGTGCCTCTAATATAGATGGTGTGCATCTAATGTAGATGGCGTGCCTCTAATATAGTTGGTGTGCCTCTAATATAGCTGGTGTGCCTCTAATCGAGATGTTGTGCCTCTAATATAGCTGGTGTGCCTCTAATGTAGATGTTGTGCCTGTAATATAGTTGGTGTGCCTCTAATATAGCTGGTGTGCCTCTAATCGAGATGTTGTGCCTCTAATATAGCTGGTGTGCCTCTAATCAAGATGTTGTGCCTCTAATACAGCTGGCGTGCCTCTAATGTAGATGTTGTGCCTCTAATGTAGATGTTGGACCTTTTAATACAAATGTTGTTCCTCTAGTACAAGATGTGCAGTGTTGTCAGAATGTTTTGTTTTTTTTTAAATATAAACCCACTCAATAAATTCTTTGATTGTTTGTGTGTGTGTGTGTGTGTGTGTGTTTGTGTGTGTGTTGTGTGTGTGCTGTGTAAGGCTGATGATGTAAGGTATATGTAAGGTATGTTTAATATATATGTAAGGTATATGCACATTAAGGACACGATTAATATATGGGATTACTGAACAAAACGTGAGAATTGAAAGCCTTGAAAAATGTATCGCATACCATCTAGCACTTAGCGAATTTAAAGAGATGTAAAATGATTATGTTTTTTGTTGTTGTTTTTTTTTTTTTGTTACTGAAAACCCAAAGCAATTTGAACCTTCTATAACGTCTACTTCAAAGTGTGAGCTGATCTTTTGCATAACAATGCCCTAAAGCACAGTGAATCTTAAAACTCAAAGACACTTGGGGGGGGGGGGG